CCACTCAGCTTGGTGTCATCTGCAAACTTGCTGAGGGTGCACTCGATCCCACTGTCTATGTCACTGATGAAGATATTAAACAGTACCGGTCCCAATACGGACCCTGCAGGACACCACTCATCACCAATCTCTGTCTGGACATATTAAAAGGTTAAAACTGCAGAGGAGCTGATTGTGTAAAAACGACAAAATTGCTTCTCTGGTGAGACCGTGCTTGATCCGGTTGAGTTAGTATAGGGTGCTGGACCTCATACACACCTAAAAGGGACTGGCAAACACAGTGATGTTAAGCGAACAGCTTCAGCACTGCGTACTATAGTATTACCTTGCGCAGAAGCCTTATGATGCAGGCAATGCTAATTACACTTTCTCAGTTCATGTACAAAAAGGTGTCTTTCTGGCAGATGAACCAACTGCCTTAAAGTAGCTATTGCCCTTTAAGGGCAAAAGGTTTTGCCAATAGCAAAACCTATTGGCACTGGTTTTAAACTTTTATTTCAAATGTTGCATAACTGTATAAAATCCTGTCTTGTTTTCTACTTCATCTGTGAAAGAACAAGCTTTTCACTGTCTTGTCTCCTGCCCGTGCTGCTAAGCTTAATGTGTTTCAATAAATAATTGATAAATAAATAATGTTTTCAATAAATAATTTATTTCAATCAAGGAGTCCATGTATTGCTACAGTAAAGAGGAATTGGTAAACAGTGAGCAGAGCAGGGTGTATAGTGAACTGGAACAAAGCAACATAACATTGCTGAAAAACGTCAATGGTCATATATTCTTATGATGGAATGTGAATTGTGAAGACCTTTCTTCTGGGGTTGCGAAACCCATCTGTTGAATTTGACCTGATTGAGTGTGCTCAGCCAGAATTTCCAGAATTTCCACTTCATGCAACACCTGTAAGCAAAGTGACCGTCTCTGATTAATCTCAGTGGAGAGAGGATGCCTGAAAGAAGCTACCAATACGTATCACTTGTCAGTCACTGTTATTTCCTTGCGTTGCCGGTGTGTTGATATTTCTGTGCATTCACCGGTGCATTTCTTCCCACAGATATCATATGTTTAAGAAAAAACTGATAGGATTAGTTCCCAAACTGTGCTAGGAGTACAGTCCTAATGCAGTCCAAAACTGCGTTAAGGCAGAGAGTGATGATTGCCTTTGGTCCTGTGACTCTGCTTATAGAAAAGCTGTGTAAGTGGTCTTAATAGAAGCTATAAACAGGAAAAAGGAAATTGAATGGGTAGTTCTTGTTTCTGAGTAGGTTAATGGACTGACAAATGGAATTGCAGGACACAGGATTTGATGGATTAGTGTAGATGTGTGACTCTTGCAACCTCCTTAGTCCCAGTGCCAGATGGGCAAAGCTACGTGCTTTTTATACTCGGTATGCTCCTCTACTAAGTTACACTCTTATTTTCATGATGGTCTACTTTCACCCATCTGTCAGTTGAAGAAAGATTGATAGTCTGCTCTACTCATTTTGGAGGGCAGCAGCAAACTGAAGCAGATCATGTAGGAAGTGTGTAGATGACTTCAGAAATCTCCACGTAGGTTAAAGTATGAACAAAGCAAAATCAAGACCTAATGACTGAAAAATGATTTGATGGGTGATACTGTACTAAGGATCATTATAGAGTGTCCATGCAGCCAGTAAACTCCCAACTTAAAACCAAGGCAAAAGAGTAATACCCTTTCGTGATATGAAAGTGTTGTTGCGGATAAGTGCATTTCTTTAATTTCGCTCTGTGCTGCTTTCCTTTCCTTCAAATTTATTTTAGTTTAATTTTTCATCTTTCCTGAAAAACTCCAGGATTTTTGATTTACTGCCTTACTGCAGTAATACCAGATTGAAATTCTTCCTGTTTCAGGAAGATGAGCGGAACTTTTTTAGTTTGATGAGTAAGGACTCTGGGTGGATGTATGGCAGGTTGCTGTGCAGGTCTTCCAAAGTACTTTCTGACATCTTACATGAAAAAGATGGGCACTGATCTTGAACAAACAACTAAAAAAACCCCCTTTTATGCTCTCTCTAGCCCCAAAATGCTTAGAAGTGTGGAGAAGGGACAGTTGAGGGTACAGCACACTGAAGCTAGTTCTTCAGAATAGTGAGCAAAAACCCCATAATTATTTGTGGGGTGATCACTTTGCAAGTGGCAGTAATCTTTGCAGTGGCAGGAAGCAGAGTGTTGTGCTGCGTTTCCCAGAAGTCCCAAACAGACTGAGGTCCCCTCTGGGGACCAGCTGTGGAATTGATTCAGAGGAAGAAGAATCTTTGTATGCCCACAGTTTATAAGTGGAGGCTTCAGGCCTTAGACTTGTTTGTTTATCCTGCTTATCTCATGCACCCTGTGGAAATAACCACACATAGATAAATATGCTGGATTTCAGTAAGATGTAAAGAACCACTTGAAGGAATATTTGTTCTGGTGGTCAATCCAAACGATCTGTTTTAGGGACCTGACAGACTACAGGTAATCATTCTTTAGTTTTGTTGCAGTGCTTTAGCAAGGGTTTTAAGTACAAAGAAATTATTGGACTGAGTGCTTTCTTCTTTCTCTTTCTGAGCAGCTGTAATATATGGTGCATTAATTGAAATCTAATGTTTCTTCCCACAGCTGATAGAGAATTCATAGAATCCAGGAGGAGAGCGCTGAAGCGTTTTATAAACCTGGTGGCTCGACATCCCCCTTTCTCAGAAGATGTGCTCTTGAAACTCTTTCTGTCGTTCAGTGGCTCAGTGAGTACTTGTTAGCAATAGTCTTGAGTTTGCGTGTCTTCCTGTAACTGCTGTGCTGGGCACAGAGTTCAGAATTGGTTTTGACCTACACATTATTGCTCCCCGTGATGAGGAGAATTTTCTTTCAATAGGTATTTCTACAGCTGGAAAGTGGAAGGTAATTTCACTCAATGCCAGGAATATAGTATTTTGAAAATGATAACTGTTCTTAGGGGAATACATATTATGCTTCTCCTTGAATTAAACCTAACCTGGATAAAGCTGTATCTGCTAAGTCGTGCCTTACTGTTGCAATATATCTGAGACCTGTGTGAACTGCCTGTGTGTTACTTAATTGTTTCATGCTCATTTGATTCTGTATCTTCTTCAGGATGTACAGAATAAGCTAAGAGAGTTGATCCAGGGAGTAGGAGATGAATTTATGACCTGCAGATTAGCTACCCAGGCCAAGGTATGTATATGAATTTCTTGCAACAAATGGCTCTCTCCTCTAGGTGGACCAATTATGGCATTTGTTGAGTGATGGAGACCTTAGGTAGGAGAGAGTGGTTTCCAAAATTTGAAGGACTTTTAAACTTGTAATTTTATCGAAAAGATCAAACAAATATTTGATTCTTAAAGGCCTGACATTTCTAGCTATATGCTGGTTCATGAATATGATGAAGATTAAACAATGAATCCTGCTCAGAACATGTTTCTCAGTAATTACTTGTACTTGCATAACAAACAAATGCACATACTGCACAACTTAAAAGCTAACACCTAGATTGATGTCTTCCCCATGTGCTCATGCCCTCATTCTGTCTGTCATCTTCTCCCTGTGGGAGAGTAATTTGGACTGTTACAGGGAAATCAGTTATAAGTTGTCTGTATATCTGTTTATGCCAGTGATTAGTGCTATGGCAAATTTTAAATATACATTCACTGTGTTCATTGAGCAATTTTAAAGCAAGTTGTTGTTCAAGTTCCTGCAATGCTAGCAGAAGGTTTTGCAACTGGAGCTTAATTCAGGCTTTTACCAGTGATGCACAGGTCAAAAAGAGCTGAACTTTCAGTACGTGCTTGACTTTGCCAGGCTGGCAGTTACCAGTAGCTTCAGATCAGAACCTGTGAGCTTGAAATCTCACAAACCCCGTTTTAACTGCATAGTAGAATTGCAGATTTCGCCAACTCTGTCTACACCCGGTATTTGAACCTCTTTCTGCCCCTGAAAATTAGGGGTATTTGTATGACGTCTGACTTGGACACCTAAATTGTGAAGCTAATCTCTTCAGGGTTGTTACAGCATGGCGTGAGAGAATGAGCGCAAGAGGGAAACTTGTCTCTCTCTGCTGACTATATGGTGTGCCCACAATTAACGTATGTGAATGTGCCTGTGATTTGTCTCTTGCACTTCTTCAGGACTTCCTTCCAGCTGACATACAGGCCCAGTTTGCTGCCAGCAGGGAGCTCATCAGAAATATTTATAATAGCTTTTATAAGCTTCGGGACCGTGCGGAGAGGATAGCTTCTCGAGCCATTGATAATGCCTCAGATCTTCTCATATTTGGAAAGGAGCTAAGGTAGGTTGGGAGAAAGAGGATTTGCTAATGTGAACGTTTCTTCTGTTGTTTCAGAACTCAAAACTGTTGTAAGGTTTACCTGCAAATGGTCTGGTAAGAATGGGTATTTCAATGCATGCTGTAGGTCATAATAAAATTTTTCCTACTAAAAGAAGAAAATGCATGCTTTCCACTAAGGTTGCATTCCATAGAGCAAGAGAAAAGAAAATACAAATACCTTGACATTCAGGTACTAGTTTTATGGTCTCTTCCACTAGTATATACACAGCTCTGCATTTGTGATTGTGCAGTAGTACCTTAGCACTGTGAGCTATTTAGACAGATTTGAAACTCTGAACTGCTCTCTGCAAATAAGTGTATCTACTTAGTGGAATTTGTCTCCTAGATTTGAATACTCCTTATCTCCTCCTAGTGCTTTGGGCTCAGACACTACACCGCTTCCTTCCTGGGCTGCTTTGAATAATAGCACATGGGGGACTCTGAAACAAGCCTTGAAGGGTCTGTCTGTTGAATTTGCACTGCTGGCAGATAAGGCTGTGCAGCAGGTGAGTTCTTTACTTTTTTCTTTTTGTAAAATGAAGGAGGTGCATTGCTGCCTTAAGCTTCATCTTGAATCATGAGCTCTGTGGACATAGGCACTTAAAAGAGTTAAGAGGGAGATTGTAGTCCAAACTCAAATCCTCAACCACCAGCCTGTTCAAGCTTCAATGAAAAACCTGGACTGTGTTTAAATGGGAAAAAATACAATGGGCAAGGGAAAGGAGGGAACAGCCTGCTTTCTTTTTTAATTTCAAATGGCTATTGGACAAGTTAAGTTGTACTACTGTACTGAGCTGTCCAAAAGTCCTGCGTTCTGTCTTACTAATCTGCTATGGAGAATCCAGAACTTATTTCTGAATCAAACTTTGACATTCGTGTACTTAAACATTACATGAGAGTCATTCAGACAGAAGCATCATATTCCTGTGTGAGTGTGCAGTGTGATAATGACTGTTAGAATAATGTGAGAACATGACAGTCTGGGAAGGAAAAGTAATAGTTCTGTCTTCACTTCTCTTCATCTCATTGTGTTAAAATACTCAGCATGCTTTTATAGATCAGTCAGACCAGGTCTTTTTCTCCAGAGTTTATGCTCCAGAGAGCTCTATTGATACGGGAAGAAAAGACAGTATTTAGTAAAATAAAAAAACAAGTAGTGAAATTTGGCTTGGTGTCTCATCTCTGCCTTCTGGTGCATGAACTATTATGGGGAACATGCAAGTATTTATAGCTTTAATGGATTGCTTATCTTGTAAGAAGGGAAGATGAAAGATTGGAGGGATCTGCAAGAGCAAGAAATTCCAAGCAGAGAGAGCTGAAAGGACTGGCACACAGGACTGTGAAACTAACTCCTCTTGTTATAATGATCAGTCAATTGGAGAAGCTGGTCCTGCTCCAGTGAGATCTTTGTTCTGCATACTGAAGATTAAACACTCCAGTGCCATCTGAAAGTTTTTTGATGCAGCTGTGTAAGCGTTGCTGTTCCCTGGAGAATACAGTGGAGGGCCTGCATGGTGTAAGGATGTGAAGAACTGTGATGTCAGTTCTGCCAGGCTTACATAAAATGGACTTTTTCCTTGTTTTCTAGGGTAAACAGGAAGAGAATGATGTGGTGGAGAAGCTGAACCTTTTCCTGGATTTACTCCAGTCCTATAAAGTGAGCTCTGCTGTTTTTCTGCCAATGAGAAAGTTGTTTAGAGCAAGCTTGTGCTCTTTAGAGGGTGTAACGCCAACTGGATGGAAAACTGTCTGGGAGGCCAGTTCAGAGGCGAACTGGGCATCTGGCAGAGGGAGGGGAGTGGCTGTTGGCCGTAGCTAGCTCTATAGCCTTACTGATCAGCTCATCTTCTGATGAGAATTTGCCAAACGGCAAACCCTGCAAGGAATTTAAAAATATGACTGCTTGAACTATGTGGATCAGCTAACTCTTCTTCCAGATTTGGCTGCTTTTGAGTCAAAGCAGTGAATTAGATGGCTACTGATTTGTTCATGGAGACATAAGTTCAGTTACAAATGAAAGAATTTTTGTTAATACTAATGTTTTGGTCAAAGGCACTTTTTTTTAGATGCACCTACTGAAACTGTATGTGGCAGCTTGTCCTGACATTCCGAGGCCTGGACTGAAATAGAAGGACATGGGCAGGCTCTTACCAGAGTTAATTGCCAGCACTTAATATTGAGAAGGGCACAAAAGATAAGAGGCCTGATAAGATCCAAAATGGTGGCAGAAGTGATGCCCCAGATTGCCTCTTAAGCTCACTGGTCTGGGTCCAAGCAGTTTTGTTTCTTGAATTCTTAGCTGCCAACATTTTTTGACTCTCTTGAAAACAAAGAAACAAAAATCTGCAGCACAGAAATTACATAAAGCGTGACCATGTGTTTGTGTTCCTGATATACTTGGCTTGCATGCTTGCTGTCTCTTGGCTTCCACTAAGTACCTGTTTTTTCCTTTTCCCATAAAGGACCTGTGTGAAAGACATGAGAAGGGGGTATTGCACAAGCACCAGCGAGCATTGCATAAGTACAGCATGATGAAGAAGCAGATGATGAGTGCCACTGTGCAGAACAAAGAACCAGAATCAGTGGAGCAATTGGAGTCTCGGATTGTGGAGGTAGGGCAGATGCCTGGGAGAGCAAAGGGTGGTACTGGACTCCTGTAATGGTGCCGCTATGTAGCTCAGTCATATTTGCAGAAGGCCATTAGGCTGAAAGGGTAACCTGTATTTTGGGTAATTTGAGCTACCTGCTGCGCTACAAGGAAAACGCGTTTGTTTTCCTCAACACTTATTACTGGCTCTTTGGCAACATGTCATTTGCAGGAGCTGTGGAAAGCAACAGTCTGCATGATTGAAAGTGCAGTTGCTGTCATATCAAGTGGGTCCAGGAACTGCCTTTTTAGGTTTTTGGTATGTGTTTGAATTGCTAGTATGGTGGGGAATGCTGTTTTCTCGTGCTGCAAGTGAACCTCCTTGGCACCCTCTTCCTGCCAGTGTACTTCACTGAGTTCCTCTTCTTTCAGCAAGAAAATGCTATCCTAACCATGGAGCTGCGGAATTACTTCTCTCTGTATTGCCTGCATCAGGAGACACAGCTTATCCACATCTATCTGCCTCTCACGTCTCACATTTTGGGGGCCTTTGTCAACTCCCAGATCCAGGGTCACAAAGAGGTGAGTTCTTCTGAACTGTGTTCTTTTTCCTAAAACATGAATGAGAATTTGAATGTATTTGTTTTCACCTGTGGGCCTTCCGACTCTAATCATCTGTCCAGCTGAGCTCTTTCATAACTTCTTAAGAAGTCATCTAAGGTCTTTCCAATTTGGGGTGAGGATCAGGGCTGGCCTCTAACCCCTCTAAAAGACTGTATCTTCTTGCAGCAAGTTGCTGTGTTTCTTTTCTTTGAATGTATTTGTTTTCACCTGTGGGCCTTCCGACTCTAATCATCTGTCCAGCTGAGCTCTTTCATAACTTCTTAAGAAGTCATCTAAGGTCTTTCCAATTTGGGGTGAGGATCAGGGCTGGCCTCTAACCCCTCTAAAAGACTGTATCTTCTTGCAGCAAGTTGCTGTGTTTTTCTTTTCTTCTTCTCTCATCTGCAGATGGTAGTCGAAGAAGACCCAAACATTAAATAACTAGCTATTCTGTAATGAATGATGTGTGTTTGCTAGATGAATCTGTTTTTTGTTGTGCTACACAGAAATTGTATGACAAGGAACAACTTCCTTGTTTTTGCTCTAAATCCAAGAGCTCCCTCTTGGTAACCCCTAAATATGACCTTCAGCATTCCCCATGCGCAGACGTTTTTGCATTCGTTACATTAGAAAAGTCTCTTCTCCTTCAGCTCCCTCCTTTCCCTTCAGTGAAGGAATTTGACCAAGGTATGGGAAATCTCCCTTCTGTGCATGCTCAGTAAAATGCTCAGAGAGCTGCATTGTAGCACCAGCCTAAAAGGGACAATCTGGGTCCATTGGACTTCCCCAAAGTACTTCAGCAATTTGTGTTTTCCTTTTGAGTACTCTGAAACTGCTGCTAAAATACAGTGTGGTGAGATGATTACCTACCATGTTGTCACGTCTGTTTTCTCTCCTTTTCCACTCACAGATGAGTAAAGTTTGGAATGAATTGAAGCCAAAGTTGAGCTGTCTCTTCGTGGGATCTAGCAATATGCCAACTCCACCATTGTCACCTCCAGAGGGAAACTTCTTCTCCAATTAATGCTCTGAGCATCTAGCATGGAGCAAGAAGTGCAATCAAGGAAGGGGTGGGACTTCTACCTCCAAATGTTAGAATGAATCCTCCAAACAGCTATTATTTTTTATTTTTTTTTAATACCGCTGCTTTGAGCTGCTCTCTGATTTAGACAGACTGGATGTGGGGCAGAACATACGGATATAAAGACAATCTCTTAATTTTGAAATGCTCTGGGACAGAGCTGATGTTCATTATCCTGCAGACACTCTTCATGGGGTCAGGATGTGACCTGGTGCAGTGAGTCCTGCAGTGTTGTTGCTGATGCCTCTGCATCTTGTACTAACAGTCCTCCAATAATGTCTATCTGCACACACGCTGACACATCTCTGCACATCTCTGAAGTGCTGGGATGAACAGGATATCTGAAGCACTTGCTTGTAGTAGAGATGGATTGCCTTTTAAGCTTGGGATGGCCTGTGTTAGGGACATACGTGCATAAGGAAAGCTGAAAGCCATCCCCCATCCCATTGATAGGTGTCTGCATTTGATTTCTTACTGCTAGACCTTAGCGCAAAATACGTGAATGAAGTGGTTGGATTCGCTAACCCAGCTGGGTAGGGGTCAGTGCTGCTGCGTGACAGTAATTTTCCCAGTGAGGCTAGGCAGACTGTGTTGTCAGTGTGTTTCAGTTCACGGTTGTAAGGCAGCCTCGGGACTTGCTCATATTTTTCAGTTTGGGGCCAAACATGACTGGGTTCAGGAACTCAGAGGAGTTTGCCTGGCATAAATGAGAAAATAGTTGAATAAAACACTCCTTAATTGTAAACCACTCATACTATACGAGCAGAACAGCTACAAGGTAGCTTGTTTGTCTTCTGGAGGTTCTGACATCCATCTGTTGAGTAGCTGTTCAGGACTATTGGAGAGCTGCTGACCCGAAGGCTGGTGTTTTCTTTGGTCTAATATCAGATGAAGTATCCTGTTACACCAGCAGGCTGGGACACAATGCTGATAAAATTCATTGGCAAAAAATCAGTATTTATCAGGATGTTACTGTCATTCTTTTTTCTGGCTCTGGGTAGCATTGGATTGTGTTTGTGAAGGAGAGAAGACAATTAAGTGACAATTAAGTCTTTCTCTAAAAATAGCACGGTTCTTAGTAATGGGGTTTTCAGAATGATTTGTGATTGTGATAAAGGGGCTAAACATTCTCCATGTTTCACTTTGTATCTCCGGTGACTTTCCCTCATGAGGCAGAGGGTAGGGGGAGGAGAACTTTAATGTCGTGTTACCTGAGGGGAAATTGTGCATATCCTCCAGAGAAACTGATAAGTGAAGAAACTGCAAACGTATGCAGCAAAACTCTACGTGAACGGGACTCCCCTGAACTGAACTTCTCTGGGGCCAAAATAGCTGCCAAAGGGGAATTTGAGACTTGGCTTCTTAACATTTTCTTTGAGTGGGTAAAAAGGAAGCACATTAACAAGGATGAGTGATTGCTGTCAAACTGGAAGCATTACAGTATTTTCCCATTGGGGAACTTCCCCATTAGCAGGAAATATATTTAAATCCTCCAATCACAAAAGTTTTTTTTCTTTTTTTTTTTAATTTAGAAAATTCAATGCAACATGAAGCTTTTCCTGGTCCAGGTGGAACTTATGGTTTAGTTTCTTCAGCTAGGAGCAAGATAGTAAGTTACTTGCCCAGTTTCATGAGACTGGCATAACCATTACACACACCCCTGAAAGTGTGGTGAAGTACACTTACGTGGGTGAATTTCTTGGGTGCTGGGCCTTAAGGAGTGTGTAGGGAGTCTATTTAATAACCTTGCTCAGAATGCATAATATTAAGAGCTTTTTATAGCAATTCAAATGTTAACTCTCTTCTGAGTCTTTCCTCCTGCGTATTGGCCTTGTCCAGTGAGACAGATTAACTGCAAATCGCTGTGACAGATTTGATTCTCTCTCCTGAAGATTTCCAAAGTGATGCAGAAGAGATTCTGCTCACAGGGCAGAGCAAACTGGCTGGGGAGGGAAATGTTTCTACAGTACAGTAACAAAGAAGATGCTATCTCAAGAATGGCACAAAAGGTTTTTCTGCTTGACCTTTTCGTGATTAGGAAGGTAGTTTGTGGTTAAAGTGCGGAAAGTGTGTTACCATATTTTTAAATGCTCTTCACTCCTAGCATCTTTAGAAGGTGCTAGCTGGTTATAGCCTGTCATTTGCTTAGTTGTAGTACCCATCCTCCCTCATTTAGCCTTGTTTGCCTGCTGTAGTGAACAGTCAAATCGAGAAAATACTGTACGTTTTGGGGCAAGATCCGGTATCTATATGATGGATCTTCTATGTAACTTGTCTGGCTGGGGTAGATGACTGGATTATGTTCTGTAGGAGCACTTGCAAAGTATTAGCCTGAATGGAACTTTGCACTTCTCACATTTAGAAAAAAGTTACGCTTTTGGACTTTATTTAAAAACAAAACCCCAAAAAAATCAAAGCCACATTTGGGCTTTAGACTAACTCCTCTTTCCTGTTCTCCTTCAGAGCAAGAATTCTACAGTCCAAATGCGGAGACTGTAATGATAAACACAGACCACATGACCTATAAAGAAACTGGAATTACGTTGTTTTGAGAAAACACCTATTCCTCCATTGTCAGCCCTTGCCTCTTTGAGGAGAGCAGTTTTGGGGGTGGGGTTTTCTTGTTTTGATTCTACTCTGTTCACCTAGTATTTTGAGAACAGAGGCTTAGTGTTCTCAAAGCTGATACAGCTAATGGCACTTTCAGAGTTTATTTCATACTGGATGTCAAGCTTCTGTCTCATTCCTAGATACATGCATACACTATTTCATACAACCCTTAGTCTGCAAACCTTATTTTTGGGAGACTGGTCAGTGTGCAAGCACTATGACGTTTACCTCAATATGTGAGGGATTTCCTTACTGTATTTGTTCCGTTTAGTTTAGGTATCTGTCAGACTTGGAGAGCAGCATCAAGTACAGCTTCCTTCCTCTAGAGGAATGCAGCAGGGAATCAATTGTCTGTCTACCCTAGACAATGCAGGGGAAACAATTCTGGTTACCTCCATGCTATCGCCTTCTGCAGCAAACAGCCTAGCTATGTGCAAGGGTGAGAACAAGACTTAATGAACTTGGTTCCATTGCTGGTAGATGGCAATAAACACTAAGCAAACCAGAAGACTGACTGAAGAGCGCATGCTGCCTATCCAAGAACTGATGCTCCTGTAAGATGTAGCGCCAAAGAGTTAACGTGCCTTCTTGAATGGAAGCTTTCTGTGCATTGCTTGAGCTCATGGGGACGTTCATGTGTTCAAAACAGTAATGATAGAAGAGGCCTCTAATCTGTCGGTGTGTCTCTTAAAATCTGTCGCAGAGGTACCAGAGTAGTAAACAGCTGAGAACCTGAAACTTTGCCTGAAAAATGTTTTCTCAAAAGGGCTATATGTTTTTGTCACTCCTGATGTCTCCTCTGCTTCAAGCTGTGAAGTGGCAATATACAGGCTTTTTGACCAGTATCGTGTGTTGAAAGGCTTTCCAAACTATATTTACAATACAACCTTAATCTTTGATCCTTCTTTCCCTCTCCTTCCATTTTCCTTGCAAGCTGCTCCTCCCAAGTGGTAACGTGTTTTCAACAGTGCCTTGCTGCATTCCAGTGCTTTTACTCTTTGACTTTGATCATGCAAGAGTGTAATTCCTGGAATTTGTAACAGGCTAATTTACAGTCTTCAGTTTGTGCTGTTTTCTAAAAGACAAAGATCACCAGCTGGGGACAGAACTTACTTAAAACGTCAGTCTCCACAACTGCAGCAGGAGCAGTTAACGTCACCACCCTCTGACATGAGCTAAAAGTCAGTGCTGGTGAAAGCACCTTTACAAAAGGATTGAACTGACTGCAGAAGAGGGGATAGCAAATAGAAGTGCAGGCCTGAGCCGCACTTGTTCTTTTCCTACCTAAACTCCTGGAGGAACATAAAGTAATTTGCGCTCTCTCACCATGCAATTTACAGTTTCCTCCAGGAAATAAATCAAGATAACTTAACAGGTATCGGCTGCCAGTCACTCCCTTTCCTACCGTGCCGTAAGGTCTTACGTCCTGTTACGAGCTACCTATCCCCTTGTGCTTATTTTCTCTCCTCTACTTGCCTCAAGGCATTCTCTCTGTTAGAACAGCCATAGCTTACTGCTATGTTAGAAGCAGAGTATCAAAAACTCTCTAAATAACTCGGTGTGCAGCACAAAAGGAAAAGTAAGAGTCTAAGGTGTTAACTCTTACCCTCTAAGTCTGAGCTGTGGCTTACTGAGCATATGAGGAAGGGCATTTTTGAGTGGTATAAATTATTCAGAACTGCTGAAGGGAGAGAAGAAGAAACAATCTTGTTCAGAGGGTGTGAATTTTGCCTGCCTGGAATATCCTGTACCTTTGCTTTGCTCAAATAGCCTTATGTATGAAGCACTTTATCCAAATGCAGGAATTAAAGAACTATTACTACAGCTGGTAGACTGGAAATGTTTACAGATCCTATATTACATTCCAAGATTCTATCTGTTATATGTGTTTGTAAAAGTGTTAAAAAAAAAAAAAAAAAACAAACAAACAAAACTTGTGTAAGAAGTTACATATGTGATGTGTTGTTTCTAGCACAGTTTGATTAAGCTTTTGCTGCCTGGCATGCCAGTTGGGCTGACCTGAATGCTGAATAGGTCTCCTGCTACCGACGTGGCAAAGCCTGCAGCCATAGGTGACTGCACTTCGCAACATGGACTTGCTGAAAGTTGATTTTGTTCAGCATATTTTTACCCGAAATGCTCAAAACAGTTCAAGTTCACAGTGGGAGCTGCAAGAGTGAAAGCAGGGCTCGAACAGTGCCATACATCTACCTCTGACTTTTGTTTTCTTAACTCCTATAACCTTACACTACCTTCAGCTGGAGAATCCCAAAGGGATCTCTACCTAAACTTTTCAAAAGGCTTTCATGGCGCTGGTCAAGCCTCACCTTGTCCGAGGAAGTAATGCTGAATAGGGAACTGTATAGGAACTGGCACAGAGAAGATAATTGATTCTGCTGCATCACAGTCCACTTAAATGTTTCTGTGAAAGGAAGCCAACTCCTGAAAGGCCCTTAAGCCATCTAGAAGGTAGCCAGCTGTTTACAACAGAACAACACATACTTTTGCTAAAAAATATTTTTAATTTTTTAAAAACATTTCCAGCCGCAAGGGAAAAGCCTAAAAAATCTGCCACCTGCAAAGAAAAGGGTTAACACTAAGTTTTTAATAGTTGTGATCACATAACCACTAAAGTATACCACAGCCAGGGACTTTGCAGCATGGAAAATCTTGTTACTTTTATTTCTGCCCTAAGAAACCCCCTTATTTTCCTTACTTCCCAGTGACCTGGCAAATAAGTCTCCTTTGCTGGAGAGTTGAGAAAGGAGACCCCTGTAGTAGTACTCATGGCGTTCTAGCCTGATGTGGGCAGCAGCACATGGGTTGAATGCTTCCGTTTTCTTAAACTTCCTCCACTTCTTTCAGGGTGTGCTCCAGGATAGTGTCTTGTCCCTGGAATTTAAAATAGCCACGAAACAACTTTTTCTGAAGTAGCAGGGGAAACCAATAGATGTCATCTGCCCACATGTGATTGAATGGCACCTCATCCAGCTGAAACCACTGTGGACGCATTTCTGGTGGGAGAAAAGAACTTTGTATGAGAATTTCTCTTGGTTTTTTGCTGCCTAGACTTTGAATATCTGTCAACAAGCAGCTTCCCTCTACAGCCCAGCTGCCTCCCTTCTCAAAGGGATTTTGGCATGAATAGTTCTGCATTTCTTAAGAGCAATACTGTGCCAGAAGAGAATGCGCATCCTTCCTTCCCCTCCACTAGATACCTACCATCACTTTCTGTTGGCTCTCCATGAAAATGATCTGCTCGGAAAATGTGAACTTCCATGAGTTCAGAGTTGCCTACAAATTCAAATGTGATCTGACCCATCTTCTGCAACGTGTCCACAGTCAGTCCACTCTCCTCCAGGAGCTCCCTGCACAAGAATAGACTTCTTTATGTGAAAGCGAGCAATGGAAGAACAAAAAAGCAGTCATTAGCTTTACTCGCACATTCAAAACACTTCCAGTGAACCAAAGGTGAAATCTGTGCCTGTGAAACACAGCAGGGCACAGCCTGTAGCACAAGGCAGAGTTCTGGCTTCCACCAAACTATTAGCCTACTTATACCACAGTGGAGCCATGTCAGACTGGCTCGTGTGTTACTTCAAGCTCCTAGAGGCTGGTAGGAAAATAGTCTATGTTGGAAGGGGAAGATTCAGGAAAAGTGATTGTTCAGTATAATTTACACTCCTTGCAACATGATGATCTTTTCCGAGATCAGTCAGAAGTGTGCTAACACACTCATATGACTGTAGCTGGATGTGGCTTAAGAACTCTGAGATACACTTTATTTAGACAGGCAAAAGGCTTTGCCAACTTCAAGCTAAAGCTTTTACAATTGTGGGGAAGCAGGTAATAAATACTGGAACATCTGTACCTGCAACAAAATCTGCTACTTCTGAGGCTGACTGAAGCTTATTTAAGTAATGCTACACACTACGTAACATGATTTGCACACAGAACGTTAGGAATACCATCTCCCATTCAAATGCCATATAAAAAACACAAAGCAATTGTGTAAACTTTCCATTTCTGCTCCTTGGAAGTATATTTAGCATAGCGAGAGGCTAGAAGGCAAGACTTTTAAGAGCACTTTGAGAGACTTTCCAGACAGCTCTTTTCCATGCATCACCATGCACAGCTACTTGAAGCACATTCAATTACTTGCTCTGTTTATGCTACACACTTAGGGCTTTTTTTATTTTTACCTGCCTCTAATGTACAAAAATAAGGACTATTTTGAAACAGCGTATCTTCAGTTAAGGTTAATAATTAATGTAGTTGCATATTTGGCAGTAACTTAACAATTTTAAAATGTAATGGAAATGATCTTTAAGGCTCCAGCTTTCTTTGGCATCAATTTCATGGATCCCATCCTTCAAAATTATATTCCAACTTAATGTCTTAGCTAATTTTAGTTTATCTTCCTAAGAAACTATCTATGTCTAAAATAGAGGTGGTTTTCCAGCAACAAAGCTAAAAGCCTCATTTTACAGGCTGTGATAATTGAACAACAAAGCACAACGCTGCTATGGTTCTCCAAGCAATTTATGTCAGCTATTTGGCTCTGTCTACAGTAAGTAGAAACGTTACAGGTAGCAAACTAGAAATAACGAACTAGCTAAATGCTCCCCTTACAAGATGTGCCGCTGAGGAGCCGTGGGTCCCCAGGTGCTCACGGGAATGTGGTGTACACAGCGGAGGACAGCAATCTTACTGTTCATGTTTTGAAACTGCAACTTTTGTTCATGTTTCAGCTTAATATTTAACTATCTGTGCTGTGAGGACACTTCACACCTTATGCCACTGCAAACCCAACTGAGACAGTGCAACACGGAACCACAGCCTAATACCTCAACTCCGAGTACAGAGTGGAGGTGGTGCAAGGTAAGTTTGATTTGGACTGTGTGACATCTTCTAGAGGAGAGCTGCACCCCGAGCTTTCACCTGGGAGAGGCAGCACTGCAAGTGTCATTCCCTGCCAGGAAGGTGGACTTCATGCCTAGTTGGCCCTGGCTCTGGGAACTGCTTCCTGCTCAGTTGACCTCAGCAGGAATCAGTTGTGTCATTCTGCAGCTCCTACCAGCTGCATTGAAAGGGCTGAGGATTGGACTGTTCCACAGTCCACAGCAGCAGGCGCCGGCTGTGCTGTGGCACGTTGCACTGACATCGCTAAAACTTCTATCACTTGACATCTCGTATGGACTAAAGCTCCGGTTTCTAACTCCAGGCTAGCACAGATAAACATGCACCTAGGAAATCAAATGCTAAATCAAATCATTAGATTTACACCACAGTCAGTGGCAATGTAAGCCTAGCAAATGGAGGCCTGATCTAAGTAACAAAATTGATCTCCCTCCCTCCACTCAGAGATGATAAATTACACGAAAAGCCATGATGTAAGCGTCAGGTACGTTAATGCCGTGCGCTGCTGTGTGCACATCTGCATAGAGGACCCTTCTGTACCCTGGATTAGCTCACCACAGAACCCAGGCAGTTGCACTGGCACAGCTGAGGAAGCGGTTCAGGGAAAAAGCTGTTAGGTAGCTGTTGAGCACACCAACATTGATCTTCCTGCAGGTGCGAGGGCAATTTTGGGCATATACCAGAAAGTGAGGAGGTGGCAAAGTGCAGCTCTGTATCAGCAACGGTCATGTAAAGAACAAGGTACCTGATTTTTAGAGGAGTTTAGCTATTCAGCTGCTGTCTGCTATTTCATTTTAATGACTAGACAGAAGAAAGAACTTCAAGAAATCAGTACTAAAAGCTTCAAAAACGGTACTGTACTTCTGTACTGATGGAATTCAATTCCCTAACTCAGCATTAGGGCTTAAAAATGCCGCCATGCAGTCAAATAATAAATTTCTACAGTACCTTTCATAAGGAACCTCTGAGAATTTCTAATATTTTGTCACTACATTTTCATGCAGTATTAAAAATGCTACTGGAAGGTAGCACCTGTTCAACAGCTTCAAAATTTAAACAATAAGCGGTACAATGGCATAAGTGGTAATTCTGCTATATAGCCAAAATTAAACTCTGCACCTTTCTGAACAGTGCAAGAACCTCTGCCCACCATTAGCAAACTGAGTCTCAGTTTAGATCAGTCTCTGAGAGATGGGAGGGAGGATACTGGGTAACTTCCAGTTACTCATAGACTGGACGACAGTTAAAGATTTGCAGATGACAAGCAATGAGGAGCAATCCTGTTTCTTTGTACATATGGAAGATCCCTCATCTCCAGTGGAATGGGTGATTTTCTCTGTTCAGAGATGGCTCACGACTGCACTCGCGGGTAACACACTGGTTACAAGGGCGTTATTGATCAGCCAAGCCACGGTAACTCCACCTGCAGCCCACCACAAATGGTCTTAACACCTCCATGGCCCAACCTGTGCCCCAATACCTGCCTCTCCCCAGGGCACCGGCCAAGCCGGGCCAGGCCTCACCTGCGAGCAGCCTCCTCGATGCTCTCCCCCGGCTGCACCTTCCCCCCGAAGCCGTTCCACAGCCCAGCTCCAAACCCGCGTTTCTTCATGCCCAGGAGGACGCGGGGCGGCTGCACCACCAGGACAAGAGTGAAGAGCCTGGATGTGCACATGGCTCCTGGGCAAGAGATGAGGAGGGCACGCTGCGCCAAGGGCTCCTGGCACCCCTCAGAGGGGAGGCAGGTTGCTCCTCTGGCCCAGGGGGCAGATAGCCCCTCACCCCCCCAAACACCCAGCACCCCCTCCCCAAATGCCTGGTCCCCACCATCCCCAGCCCAAAGCCTTGGTCCCCCAGTGCCTCTCCCAGTGCTTTCTTCTCTAACACTCCCCACTGACCCTTGCTCTCCTGCTCTCCCAGC